GATTGATGTGTCCAGCCATATCAGCAAATATATTACTTTACTGGGCAAGAACCACATCTGAGCATGCAAACTTAATAATTGTATATTATATAATTATATGTATTTTGATATTGAGTAGTGTGTTGGCCTAGAATTGAAGACACTCAACCTCGCACTCAGAAGGTTAAGCGTTCAGTCTTAAGCAGCCGGCTGATGTTTCTCTGTCGGGGGGGTGCTTTTACTTTGAATGGTCACTAAATGAACTGTTGTAAGTCAAGGACTACCTTTAAGTGCTTTTAAGATGTATGGACTTGAATTCCGAGGATTGGGATTGTTGCAACGGTCATAAGTATGAAAAACGGGCGTTATGTCACACTTTCTATGAGCCATGTGGCGCAGTGGTTAGAGTGCACTACTGCAGGCTATTTCTGGCTGCTCGCTGCCTGCAATTTGGCAGTTCGAATCTCACCAGGCTCAAGATTGACTCAGCCTTTTGTCCCTCCGAGGTCGGTAAAATGAGGACCCAGATTGTTGGGGGCAATAGGATGACTCTGTAAACTGCTTAGAGAGGGCTGTAAAATAAGTGGGGGGGGGGAGGGAAGGAAGGGCGGACCATGATGGCACAGTGGTGAGAATGCAGTATTGCAGGGTGACTGCCCACTGCCATTAGTTCGATCCTGACTGGCTCAGGGTTGACTCAGCCTTCCAAGGTTGGTAAAATGAGGACCCATATTGTTAGGGGCAAGAGGCTGACTCTATAAACCGCTTAAGAGAGGGATGTGAAGCCTTGTGAAACGGTATACAAGTCTAAATGCTATTCCTGTTGCTATTTTCAGTACCGTTGTAACCATACGGTCACTTAACAAACGGTCATAAGTCGAGGACTACCTAGGTGGGGATGGAAGTGTCTTATTTTTATTTCTCGTCTGTTTTTCTCTCCCGGGTTTCCCCTACAGCAGCAACTCCAAGCCCACCAGCTCTCTCAGCTGCAGGCACTGGCCTTGCCCCTCACCCCGCTCTCCGTGGGCCTGCAGGCCCCCTCCCTGCCCGCCGTGAGCGCCAGCACCGGCCTGCTCTCCCTCTCGGCGCTGGGCTCCCAGGCCCACCTCTGCAAGGAAGACAAGAACGGTCACGACGGAGACGCCCACCAAGAAGACGACGGGGAAAAATCCGACTAGGTGGATCTCGGGTTGGGGGGGGGTGCAGCGGGAGGCGATCCTGGCGGTGGGGGCAGAAGATGCCGCATTTAATCCAATTCCGGGGCTGGCAGGAAAACCATGATTCTTCAGTGGGGTACGAGGGGCGAGACAAAATTGCAGCAATAACATTTTAGCCCCCTCTCTTTTCCTGCCCTTCCTTCATTCCAGCTCGATAGCAGGCAGGAACGGTTTTCCCCAAGCAATTGGGGACCTTTTGCATGCATGTTGGGGAGGGGGGTTCAGGTGAGGAAGGGGTTTGACCTCCCCCACCCTCTTCTATCTCCCCTCTTCCCTTTAAATTAATTCCAAAGGGTTAAGCCAGCATCAGAATATCCACGATGCATTGTTAAACTGGGTTCCTCCCCTCCGTGCATCCATCCATCCATCCATCCTTTCCCAGGCTTTTTTTTTGCGATTGCTTGGCCCTGTCGCACAAAAAACTAACAAACTGGGTTAGTTATCCAAGGGGGGGGGGGGAAGAAAGGATGTGGGTTTGCCCGATCCTAGATTTGTGGGAAAACCAGAGATCCTGGAAAATCCCCATCCCATCCAACAGCTGGAAAGTTTTCATCCACAGCTGGGGAGGACCAGTCACTGGCACCCTCCCAGCTGCTTTAAAACGGGTGGACTTCAACTCCCAGAATCCCTCACTTGACTCAGTCGTGACCCCCTAGGTGGGTAGTGTGGAGGTTGTTAAGATGGTTGTGTACAGGTTTTCGTCGACTGATGGATCCAATGTCCCTTTGCTAAGTGACTCGCGCCTGATGAACTGTTTTGCCCCGCGGCTGCTAATCCAATCACCGCTGGAGGGTGGGGGAATGCTGGGAGTTGAAGTCCACACGTCTTTAAATGGCTGCCGTTGAAAAACAGCACCAAGGAAACCATAATTCTGACCTTTCCCGTCTGATTTCAGCTCCCTGGCACGGCGGCACCACAGTTTTGCGCTCATGGAGGGCAGCCCTCTCCCAGTGGGCAAGGCCAGACCCCATTGGTAGAGGGCGCTCCGACAGAGCGAGGTACAAAATGGGTTGGCAAACTTTCTGATACCTGCCAACCTCTTGAAAATGCCCCCCAAACAGAGAGAAATGGCTGAAATGCAAAGAACAAATCCCCCCGCCCCCACATTTCCGTTCCCCAATCTTCAGGTAGTCCTCGAATTACAACAGTTCATTTAGTGACCGTTTGAAGGTACAGCAGCATTGGAAAAAAAGTGGCTTATGGCCATTTTTCACAGTTAACAACTGCTGCGGCATCTCCGACGTCACGTGATGAAAATTTAGGCGCTTGACAACTGGTTCGTATTTCTGACAGTTGCAGTGTGGCTAGGAAAGGTCGTAAAATGGGGCAGGCCTCATGTAACAAATGTCTCACTTAACAACAAATGCGGGACTCAATTGCAGTCGCAAGTCGAGGACTACCTGTATTCTAGCGGAGGTCCCATAAAGGGCCAAGCTCACTCCCCTAACAGCACAACTTCCCCATGTGGATTAGACCCCTTGTGACCCCCCCCCCTTTTAAAAAAAGCAAAATCTAGATCCATTAACTCACCCTTACTTGCAAGTCCTCAGCAGCTACGTCCAGCCAGGAAACTCATTACAGCTGGTCCTCGACTTAAAATCGTTCATTTAGTGACCATTCCGAATGGCAACGGCACTGGAAAAATTTAACCTAACCAGCCCTCCCACTCACAACGGCCATCGCAGCCATCCCTGTGGTCACGTGATCAGAATCCGGGCGCTGTGTTAATGGGCGTGTATTTATGAAGTTTGCAGTGCCCCCGCGGATCATGTGATCCCCATTTGCGACCTTCCCAGCTGACATCCGACCAGCAAATCCAAAAAGGAAAGCCGGATTCGCTTAAGAACCCCGCGGTGATTTGCTTAACAACCACGGCAAACGGGTAAATAACAAGGGGTGCGTCTCCCCCCTTAACCCCTCCCTGTCTCGCTTAGCTGTGGAAGTTCTGTCCTCCATTGTGGCCGTACGTACCACCTGCGCTCAATGGGATAAACCTTTTAAAACACTTGTCCCGCACTGCAAGGTTCTCTGTTTTGAATTTGGGGCGGTCACGTAAGCAGCTAGACGTGAACGGATAACGTCCCACCGATGATTCCCTTGAAAAGCAAGCCCGATTGATTCCTTGGTTGGGGGGGGGGTGTTACAAGGGTTCTGGCTGGGGCCGACCCTGTCGGACTACCTCCGCATTGGATAATTTGCAAACCGCCAGATCCCACCGGATTCCACGTCGGTAGTTTTCATTTGCTTTTCTCCCCCCTTGGCGGCACTTAGCTCACATCTGCCGATTTGTGGGGGGATGACTCCTTCTCTGCAGAACTTTTTTGCTTTAAATTTGCTCCATATCGCCACTGACCCCCCCCCGCCCCCCAAACACTAGCAAGCAGCATCTGGGCTTTGCAAAGCCCNCACACACACACACACACACACACACACACACACACACACACACACACACACCATGCCCACCTGGCTCAGTAGCAGTCCCCACTCCATAGCCCACCGGCTCTCAGAAGTGCCCATCTGTGGCATTCTCCCACGCACCTGCAGCTATCACCTGCTGGCCTAGAACTCCAGTCATGTAAGGTCCTCTCAAGCACCTGTGCAGACTTGCGGTTGCAATAGCAACCAGGATTACTGTTGCTATGCCTTGTGAACATGTGACATTACCCTTTACAACTGCATCTCTCAGCCACAGAAATTCCATCCCAATTGCCATCATAATCTGAGGATTAGCTGTAGAAGTTATGGAATGTTTCTTCTCTAAAATAGGTATTTAAGGACTGATAGTCCTGAGTGTATGCAAAGACTGGTACAGCTCATCAGAAGGATAGTGGCATGAAACATTGCCAATAGTGGCACGATTGCTATCTATAACTCAACTGGAGGCTGCAATTTGTTCTGTGGGAGGGTTCTGGGAGAAAATTGGTTCCCGTGATTCTAGAATGTTTCTAGAGGAGTGTGGATGTAGCCTTGGTTATATGAATACCCACTACAAAAGCATCACCTTAGCCTGGAAAAACAGGAACATCAGAATGAAACTTGGTTGCCCCACTTGATTCTCTCTTGCTATTAGAGGAAGAGAAATTCTCTCGGATTTTCAAGATTCCGATATTATTCTTTATAATAATAGAATAACAGAGATGGAACCACATCTATGGATTTATGGCTGGTTGATCAACTGTACTCCATGTGTAGTCCAATCAGAATAGAGTTGGAAAGGACCTTGGAGTTCTTCTAGTCCAACCCCCTGCTCAAGCAGGAGACCTCGTACCATTTCAGACAACTGGCTGCCCAATCTCTTCTTAAAAACTTCCAGAACATCCACAACTTCTGGAGGCAACTCATTCCACTGACTAATTGTTCTAGCTGTCAGGACATTTCTCCTTAGTTCTAGGTTGCTTCTCTCCTTGATTAATTTCCATCAGTGCTGGGTTTCTACCAGTTTGGACCAGTTCAGCTGAACCAGTAGTGGTTTGGTGGCCTTGGGCGCTGGAACTGGAAGCGACCCAGACCTGCCATACCCCTAACTGGTTCTCCCTTAGGTGCTGCCATCCTGTTTTTCACTTCTGCCCATGTGCAGAAGCATTTTATTGCATTGCGCATACGTGCACAGTGCATATCAAGCGTGCACGTGCAGTGTGCATGAGCAAATCGGCGGCAGAGCCTGCCAGAACTCACCCCTGGTTTCCGTCCATTGCTTCCTGTCCTACCTTCTGGTTCTTTGGAGAATAGGTTGACTCCCTCTTCTCAGGGCAACCCTGATATATTGAAACACTGCTATCATGTCTCCCCTAGTCCTTCTTTTCATTAAAGTAGGTATAACCAATTCCAGCACCTGTTCCTTGTTTTAGCCCCCAGTCATCTTTGTTGCTCTTCTCTGTACTATTTCTGGAGTCTCAACATCTTTTTTACATCCTGGAGAACAAAACTGGATGCAGTATTCCAAGTATGGCCTTACCAAGGCATTATAAAGTGGTATTAACACTTGATTCTATCCCTCTGTTAATGCAACCTAGGTCTNTGAAGCGGTATATAAGCCTAACTATTGCTATTGCTATTGTAATGAAAGGGCTTTGGGACTCTTATTATGACTCTGCCTGAAGTAGGTAGATCTTTATTATGCAGAATAGACTGGCTCAGGCCTTAATGGCCCATTGACAAAGGTGGGGGGGGGGCAGGAAGCTGGAGGGAACTGCTTTGTCTTTAAAACATGTTTCTCTTTTTCTCATCCAGGGAAATATAATATCCTGCCTTTTTAAATATTTCCTAAAATATTTCATTTTTCTAGGAGAAGGGTGGGTGCTAATTTCCTATGTACTTTTCTTTGCCTCATAAATCCATAGATGTGGTTCCATCTCTGTTATTCTATTATTATAAAGAATAATATCGAGAAGAGAAACTATCATATATTTATTTAAAAGACTTACTACAATAAGCCCTAAAAAAAGAAGGAAAAGAAACACATGGAACCAAAATGGAAAAGCGTTTCAATCGTAGAAACATAGAAAACCGACAGGGGAAAAAAAAACCTAGTGGCCATCAAGTCTGCCCTTGAGGTTTTATAGCTTTCTTTTTCTTTTTCTTTTTTAATTTTAATTTTGTTTTTAATTTTTCATCTGATGATGAACGTGTGTTCATCCCAAGCATGTTAAAAGTAGTTAACCAGTTTTATATTCATCCTCTCGACATGCCCTCAGATGCTCTATCCCAGTGCCTGGGGGAAGAACCAGCTTTTTAGGACCTTCCAGAAGGCGAAAAGGATGAGGCCTACTGAATAGCTGGGGGAGGGGAGGGGCTGCTATGAAAAAGGAGCCAAATTTATGGAAGGGACCTTTAAGGCATGCCAGAAGAACATGGAATAGAGGGGAAAGTAAGCAATAAACTTGGTCAAGGCTGGGTGAACTATTTCTTTAAGCCTTGTAAAGTCAGTCAATGTCTTGAGATTGCAACATTGCAGCCAGCCATGGTCACATGGTTACCATTTGTGAGTCCCAAAGGTGCTTTTTCAGGAGGCAACTGGACTTTTGTTTTGCTTTGAAGACCATTTGTCAGCTTCCCTGCCAATTTCCCATAAGCAAAGTCAATAGGGAAGCTGGCAGGGGAGGCCAGAAGTTGCTTCCATCCTACCACGTTTCCCCGCAAATAAGATAATAAGCCCAGTCGGGCTTTTGGGCCGATGCGCTACAATAAGCGCTCCCCTGAACATAAGCCCTCCCCGAAAATATTGCAACACAGCAGCAGCCATGAGGTGACCACACTCGCTGCCTCCTGCACCTCAAAAATAATAAGACCTCCCTGAAAGTAAGACGAAGCGCTTATTTGGGGGGTCAAAAGAAAATAAGATCCTGTCTTATTTTCGGGGAAACATGGTACCTCCTGCTGCTTTTTCTTCCAAGGAGCCCTGCTGTGGAGCACAAGACACACACACACACACACACACACACACACACACACACACACACACACACACACACACACCATGCCCACCTGGCTCAGTAGCAGTCCCCACTCCATAGCCCACCGGCTCTCAGAAGTGCCCATCTGTGGCATTCTCCCACGCACCTGCAGCTATCACCTGCTGGCCTAGAACTCCAGTCATGTAAGGTCCTCTCAAGCACCTGTGCAGACTTGCGGTTGCAATAGCAACCAGGATTACTGTTGCTATGCCTTGTGAACATGTGACATTACCCTTTACAACTGCATCTCTCAGCCACAGAAATTCCATCCCAATTGCCATCATAATCTGAGGATTAGCTGTAGAAGTTATGGAATGTTTCTTCTCTAAAATAGGTATTTAAGGACTGATAGTCCTGAGTGTATGCAAAGACTGGTACAGCTCATCAGAAGGATAGTGGCATGAAACATTGCCAATAGTGGCACGATTGCTATCTATAACTCAACTGGAGGCTGCAATTTGTTCTGTGGGAGGGTTCTGGGAGAAAATTGGTTCCCGTGATTCTAGAATGTTTCTAGAGGAGTGTGGATGTAGCCTTGGTTATATGAATACCCACTACAAAAGCATCACCTTAGCCTGGAAAAACAGGAACATCAGAATGAAACTTGGTTGCCCCACTTGATTCTCTCTTGCTATTAGAGGAAGAGAAATTCTCTCGGATTTTCAAGATTCCGATATTATTCTTTATAATAATAGAATAACAGAGATGGAACCACATCTATGGATTTATGGCTGGTTGATCAACTGTACTCCATGTGTAGTCCAATCAGAATAGAGTTGGAAAGGACCTTGGAGTTCTTCTAGTCCAACCCCCTGCTCAAGCAGGAGACCTCGTACCATTTCAGACAACTGGCTGCCCAATCTCTTCTTAAAAACTTCCAGTGTCGGAGCATTCACAACTTCTGGAGGCAAGCTGTTCCACTGATTAATTGTTCTAACTGTCAGGAAATTTCTCCTCAGTTCTAAGTTGCTTCTCTCCTTGATTAGTTTCCACCCATTGCTTCTTATTCTACCCTTGGAGAATAGTTTGACTCCCTCTTCTTTGACTCCCTCTTCTCAGGGCAACCCTGATATATTGAAACACTGCTATCATGTCTCCCCTAGTCCTTCTTTTCATTAAAGTAGGTATAACCAATTCCAGCACCTGTTCCTTGTTTTAGCCCCCAGTCATCTTTGTTGCTCTTCTCTGTACTCTTTCTGGAGTCTCAACATCTTTTTTACATCGTGGCGACCAAAACTGGATGCAGTATTCCAAGTATGGCCTTACCAAGGCATTATAAAGTGGTATTAACACTTTATTTTATCTTGATTCTATCCCTCTGTTAATGCAACCTAGGTCTGTGTTAGCTTTTTTGGCAGCTGTCACACACTGTTGGCTCATATGTACCGTATGTTTCGGAGTATAAGACGCACCGGAGTATAAGACACACCAAGGATTTGAAGAGGCAAAGGTAGGTAGGTAGATAGAGGGAGAGAGAGAGAAATATAGTAGGTAGGTAGGGGAACAGAGTAGATAAATAGGTAGATAGAGAGAGAGGGAGAGAGAAAGAGAAAAATACAGTAGGGAGGGAGGGAGAGAGAGAGAGAGTAGGTCGGTATAAGGGTATGCACAGCCATTTTGTGTGAAGGGGGCGAGGCTTCGGGAGGCAAAAAAAATGCTGTATTCGATGTATGAGACACAGCCAGATTTTCAACCTCTTTTTTGAGGGAAAAAGGTGTGTCTTATACTCCGAAAATATGGTAAATGATTGTCCACTAGGACTCCAAGTTCCCTTTCACAATTACTACCTTTGAGCCAGGTATCACCTATACTATAGCTGTATATTTGGTTTTTCTTGTCTAAATGTAGAACCTTACTTTTTTCACCATTGAATTTCATATTGTTAGGTCCAAATGTTCAAGTCTGTCAGGATCTTTCTGTATCTTAAGCCCATCTTCTGAAGTGTTGGCTATTCCTGTCAGGTTGGTGTCATCTGCAAATTTAATGAGTTGCCTATCTATCATCTAAATCATTAATGAAGATATTGAAGACTACTGGGCCTGAGACAGAAGTTTTGGGTACCCCACTGCATACTTCCCTCCATGTAGATGCAGTTTCATTGAGGATTTTGAGTATGGTTGGTTAGCCAGTTACGAATCCATCTGATGGTGATGCTGTCTAACCCACATTTTTCTATCTTATGAACTAGTAGGTTGTGGTCTACATTATCGAATGCCTTAATGAAGTCCAGGTAAATTATATCCATAATATTTATCTGGTCCAATAATTTTGTCACTCAATAATATTTATTACAGATAATCCTTGACTTATGACCACAATTGAACTCAAAATTTCTGTTGCTAAGCGAGACAGTTTTTGTGAGTTTTGCCCCATTTTATGACTTTTCTTGCCACTGTTGTTAAGTGAAGCACTGCAGTTGTCAAATTAATAACATGGTTATTAAGTGAATCCAGCTTCCCTGATGAGTTTGCTTGTCAGACGTTTGCAAAAGATAATCACATGAACCCGAGACACTGCAATCGTCATAAATATGAGTCAGTTGCCAAGTCTGAATTTGATCAATGACTACGGGGATGCTGCAACCCATAAAGCATGAAAGATGGTCATGTCACTTTTCCCACTGCTGTTGTAACTTTGAATGGTCACTAAATGAACTCTTACAAGTTCATTTTATTGTTGTAAGATGTGGACATCCACTAGTTTTGTGGCTTCTGTTTTCCTGATCTAGAAAAGTCAAAAGATTGACATCACATAATTCTGTGCCATTCTTAGATACATTTCCTCTATATTCACATTGGATTGTAATCAGTTAATATATGGAGAATATCAATGAAATACTGTATAATACATTTCAGATTGCTCCTAGGAAGAATATACGTGCCACTGATCAGAATATTTTCATTTGAGTATTAATATTGCGTGCTAGGAACTCTGTGTATATTAGACCAATTTGTATGTGAAATGTTTTCAATATCCACCCTCCCCCCAAAGCTATGATCCGTAAACAAATGTCCGTGTGTGAGAAAGAGCTGACAGTTTACCATAAATTACCTCTTTTTTTCCCTTTTAAGGTGTTTGTTGCCTTTCAGTCTATGCTTATTGTTCTCGTGGGAGCTATCCCAGAATATCATCTTGACCAAGAAGGAATTCTGAGTAATACAGAAGCTCTTGCAAAACATGTCAGGTTTACCAGTAACTTCACATCTATAGCAACAGAGGTAAGTATTTTTTTTCCCCGTGAGTTAATATTTTTATGCAGTTTAGGTTCCCAGCCAAAACTACACATCTCAAAAGGTGGGAACATAGAAGAGAAAAGCACAGTCACAGTCATGTGATTTCCCACTTAACAGATGCTTCACTCACCCAATTTTGGTTGCTAAATGAGGACTACTTCTACTTGTTACTATAACCTAAATCATATGACAGCTTAGGGTTAGGCAAAAATAATTTATAGTATTCTTTGTTATTTAATGTACTTACTATCTTTTTTACCATTCATTTTTATATTTCAGCATAAATCATAAACCCTTTGAGCAGCTTGGGAATTTGATCTTGGCCCAATTCCTGAGGTTTTCACCTCCCAAAAACAAAACCTAAATTCCTACACCCCCCCCCCCCAAAGCGATTATTCCACTGAAAGAAAAATGAGTGGACAAAGCAGTTTTGGGAGTTTACTGTGATTAGAGGCAATCACTGGAATTGTAGTATTTTAAATGAAAATAGTCTCTTTTTTAATTTGTCTTCCATAGTGGTATTTAATCAAACATGAAGCATACAAAGTGAGCCTGGCCTCATCCTTGTATTTTGGTGGGTTACTCATTGGAAATATACTGTTTGGCCCATTGTCAGATAAATTGGGCAGAAAGCCTGTGTATCTATCAGGTAAGATGTTAAATAGCCATTGTATATTTTGGATGTATTTGATTATTCTCAAGCCTTTTGTCTAAGCCAGGGGTGTCAAACTCAAGGCCCGGGGGCCGGATTCGGCCCACGGGGTGCTTAGATCTGGCCCACAGGGCCGCCCTGGTAACAGCGAAGGATCAGCCAACAGTGCCTCTGCCAGAAAAAGCGGGCTCCCAAGCTTTATTTTTGGCTGCAACCGTCTCCTGCAACCCTCTGCCAGCAAACATGGAGCTTGGGAGCCCATTTTTGCTGGCAGAGCTCTTGGGCCACCACAGATGCCCCAACACAAGTGACGTTGAGCTGACCACGCCCACCCTAGCCACGCTGAGGTCAAACCCAACTCTGATGTTGTGCTCAGTGAAATTGAGTTTGACACCCCTGGTCTAAGCCAAGAAAGCTGAAAACTTTTGAGCAGTAGTTGAGATGGTCTAGGCAACCTTTGGTTAAGTTGGGGGACAGCAGAGAGGGGACCTTTCTTCTGCTGAAATGCAGCTTTGAAGAGCAGCAGCTCATAATACCTGGAAGAGAACTCTTGAAGCTGCTGGGGTTTGGGCAAGAAGCAAGCAAAGACTACGTGTGCACAAATGCTGCTTGGCCACCTATGGGCATAATTTAGCAGGAACATTGGTTTTAGACCAGTACTTAGCACGTATGTTGCTGAGGACAACCTATATATCATGAGACTCAGTTAAAATTAGGCATGAGGAGGATAGATTTTCACTTGAAAGCAGTGAAACATATCATAAACAACTACCATATTTTTTATAGGACCTGACATAGTCACATCTTGCACCACACATTTTCTTAATACCCTGTTTCCCAGAAAATTAGACCTCCCCAGATAATAAGCCCCATTGGGCTTTTAAGTGCATGCACTAAAACAATCCCTCCCTGAAAATATTGTAACACAACAGCAACCATGAAGTGACCACACTCGCTGCTTCCTGCACCTCAAAAATAATAAGCCCCCCGATAATAAGACCCAATCAATATTTTGGGGGTCAAAATAAAATAAGACCCTGTCTTATTTTTGGGGAAACACAGTAAATGTACCATTTATTGTTTCTTGCCACAATATTTTAAATTCAGAATTAATAACATCACGTCTGAAATACATTTCATTAGGATTGCATCTCCAATATTTTACCTTTTTCTTTAGAAAATCTGGAATATATATTTGCTTAGAAGACAATAATTATACTAGTTTTCTTAAACCATTATGGAAAAAACTGGTAATTTCCTTTCTGTCTTTTTCCATTTATAAATTTGCCATCGTGTTTAGCAGTCTCTGGATACGGTTGGATTGCACTATATTAATTTTTCTTTATTGTATATCTTTTGTGCAGGGCTTTTTATGGATGTCATTTTTGGATATGTTTCAGCATTTGCTCCAAATTATGAAATATTTGCAGCCTCACGCTTTTTTGTTGGAGTTACAAATGGCGGAATGTCCTTAGTGTCTTTTGTTTTGACACAAGAATATGTAGGAAAATCTTTCTGGGCAATGACAGGTAATATTTGAGGATTTAACTCATGATAAAAGAAACACAATTGTTAAAATTCTAGTGTATCAAAAAATTAAAAGCTATTTATTGTTGAAATATCAGTGTTTTAGTCTAAATACCATTGCCTTAAAATATCCTTTCTGAAAGTGCACAGTCTAAATCTTGTTCTTCTATTTCCCTAAATTAAGTTGATTTAAATCACTAGTAAAAAGGTTTGATTTAAATCAACTCGATTTAAATCATAATTTTTAAAGAGCAATTATCTCTGCTGTGAAATTGTGTGAATGCATCAATGCAGTGCATGTTCTTTCAGCTTGCATAGCTTGGATTCATTGAACTAGTTTACCAAAAATGTAAATATTGCAGAATATATAGCCCCATGCTACATAACTAAGCTCCATTTCATGCTGAATAAACTAAATTATTAATGTATCTTAAATTTAAAATTATCTTTAGATAGATTTTTATTCCAAAAGCATTTTATTAAAATAAATTTGATAAAAATAAATCCAGTTTAAATTTTAAAAAATCCAATTTAAATTTTAAAAAATCTGATTTAAATTTGAAAATCAGATTTTTTTTTATTTTTAAAAAATAATAATTGATTTTTATCCACCCTGTCTGTGAAGAATAAACCTTTACAACATCACAGATTTCTATATTGCACTGTATATTCATAATTGTATCCATATGTATCTGTCAGTCAAAGAATTGAAGCTGCCAGGAGGAATGATTAAACCACATGACCCTCTGTATAGTAGAAAGTTTTGACATTACTAAATACTGTATTTTTCAGAGTATAAGACACACCAAGATTTTGAAGAGGCAAATTAAGAAAAAAAATTGCACTCTGCAGACCTCTCAAAAACGGCCTAGTTTTTTTTGCTAAAATGGGCCCATTTTTTGTCAAAAAAAAGTGGGGCATGCATAGCCTTTAGGAGGCTTGTAGAGTGTTTCTGGAGACCGGAGGTGGGTAAAAACGAGCAAAAAATGACATTTTGTGTGTGAAAACAAGCCCATTATTTTGTTTTTTTATAAAAAGGACATGCATAGCCTTCAGGAGGTTTATAGAGTGCTCCTGGGGGCTGGGGGGGGGGCAAAAAATGCCCAAAAACGGCTTTCTGAAAGCCTCCTAAATGCTATGTA